AACCACGGGGACTTGTGAAGTAGCCATCTTGGATTTTTTTTATGAAAAAGTGTTTCTCTCACTTTTTTTCATATCTGTGTACATATTCTCAACATACCGAGCAAATACTCTCGTTTTTTTGTTAATTATCTAAAGAAAGTCGAAAATCGGCAATTCAACCATAGGCTAATTCAACCCAACATTTGAAAATGTTCCACCACTTACATTTTGATGATTTTTCCTCTCATCAATAGCATATTACGTACTGTTTAATAGGATAAAAATTGGTTTGCATCCAACGCCCATAAAAGGGTGTATTCTCTAAAAAACACAGTTTTTGTGTCTAAAATGTTATCATCGAAAATGGCATTTTTGAGATTGTTTCTTCCATAAAACAGCCAAATGGCGCGATGGAAACATGATTTTTTGTCACAATCATGCCATGAATGTATTCTTTACGGTGACCATCATTTGATTAGATTTTCATTAATATTTTACATAACATGCACATTTTATCAACACTTAGACAGCTTCTGAAAGGTACAACTTTGAGGAGCCATAAAAAACAAACCAAGTGACCTAAATCTTTATACTTTATAGATTTGTGACCACAACGGCATGGGCAATGCACCACCAACAGGAAATTTGAATCAGAGAAGGGGCCGTTTTGGAAACCGGCCCTTTGATATGAAGGTTCCCCTAGGTCCTTAGTTGAGCATGTTATTTTTTGAGGTTAATCAAAAGACTGATTAAGTTGGTGGACAGGCAAACTGAGCAAGTATACCAGAAAAGAAGAGAAAAGATCAAACTGACATAGAACTAATGGAGATGGTACGATGGTGGGCGCCAAGATCTCTCCGGGATCTCTTGTTTTCTATTAATCTCCTTAGGTTACTAGTTAAGTGTAGGCAAGGTGTTATATATGCGTTGTCGAAATTTATGTATGCTGTTTGGTTCACACAGTCTAGTTTTATCAATAACTCAAATATTCTACTATTCATACAACTCCCCCTCCTCTCATGGCACGATGTCCAGCCCAATCCTGTCACTGGTGATCAAAACCAAGACCTGTCTATATACGCAGCCTGCGGAATAAGTTGTCCTACTTGGAACATGTATCTAGTGACTTCGATATAATTTGTATTACTGAGACTCACCTAGACATAGCCGTAGCAGACGATGACATACTCCCGGATGCTCCGTAAACAGGTAAAGACCTTGGAACTCCGGGGGGG